ATGTACTGTTGACGAGAAAAGGTACAGTATTTAGCAGTTGATATTAACTAAAATAATTTCATTTCCATGTATTGTGTACTGTGGAAGACTGGATATAGTGAATGCAGGATCCTGGGTTTAGTAACACTTTAATCAATTTGCTATGCACTAACTGATCATTGATAAGAATGATGTGGCCGGGGGTCCCGTGAGTGGGATGCTTGGCACTAAGAGGCAAAAAGTACACTGACAAGTGGAAATTAAAGCCCCCACTACTTACTCTTTATAAAATTTTGGGCCACATAGTTGGAGGCACCTTTGAAAAGCTCCAAAAAGTCTTAAATGTCAGCTGAATCCATTTGAAATCATGCTTCATTTATCCACCTATACAAGCCTATACAAAACTGGAGCGAATGGCGGCATAGGTATTATCCATAGCTAGCAACTGGATTACAGATTAAACAATTAAAACCATTATCTGATTTGTTATTGACAAAATAGATTTTTTTATTTTCTTCAGATGTATTTATAATAAAAAACACGTATACTTGACGGACCATGAGCGACCATCACACCTCAAGCAAAGGAATTATGTCTACACAGATTTAACATAGCATGGGTATTCCAGTACACAATTATTTTCCCTAGGACTAATCTAACCAGGGAAATCCTTGTTCATTAGAATGTACAATCCAATGAGACTTCCTCTTGTCCTTTAGCCCCGGTTCACATATATGCGGCCATGCGGGCCACGTTTTGCACGGGCACAAGAGCACATTCATTTGAATGGACTCCAGTGCCCGTGACATGCAGGGAAGAAGTCCCTGAACTTCTTCCGAAAACTCAGCCCACACGAGAACCTCGGTTCCCAGTATGGTGGCATTTTCCAGTGCAGACGGCGTGCCATTAGAACTAATGGCACCCACCGGCGGGTCCGCATTTCTCTGTGCGGGTGGTGCAGCTGCACCCGCACAGATGTGAACCTAGCCTTATGGCTTAGAAATAAATATATTACAGAAATATTTGAGTTGTTTTAGCTTCGGCACATTGGCCAGATTGCTGCAACAATTTGCAACTAATAAATTGCCTAAATACTGTATCTATCAATGGCAAATGACAAGTCTCATAACAAGAATTAATACATTTATATATAGATTTGTATGTATGTAGCATTTCTCCCTTAGGAGCCACAGGAATACTGTCCAGGTCTTTCCCAAAAGCTTTGCTCCACAGCCAGGTACATAGGCTCATTCACACATTTCTTCAACCAGTCTAGGGGAGTTTTTATTTTTTATTTTTGGAGAACTTGTATAGGATTGAGGGAATTAGCTGGTGTGACAGACCCAACCAGGGCAGGGGCTTTTGGAGGGGTCTACGGGGCTAGCCTTCTACCCACTGATTATGGCCCATGGAGGAGACCGGGGATTTTATCTGCTTCTTCCGATAAGAGCAAGGAAAAGAGCTCAGTTCAGCCTCTGATTACATGGAGAGGACGGATCAGTCTGTGATGATGGATAATAACCTGATGAACACTGAGAGCAAGGCTTGGCTTATGGCTGGTCTGTGTACCTGGCTGTTGATTAGCTTCCTGGTAATTAGATCACCGTTGTCCATTGGCTAGTCCTCCTGGAGGCTCCTACTTGATGGGATTAGTCTTGTGTCAATCTGACATCCTTCCTTTATCAGTGTGGGATGTTTTTCCTTATGTGTAATGTTTTTTTTTTTTTGTTCATGTGGGGGTTGCCCCTATTTCTGAAGTGTATAAAAACCTCTATTTCCATTCTATAAACAGTTCCAGTTGCATCTAAGCTAGAGTTATCTAGTCCTTAGGTGCAATGCCCAGCTATAATACCATGGTCCTGTGTCCCAGTGGTGAGGAAACAGTTCCCAGGCGGGGTGCCAGGTGGTCTGTCACAGGTGGGATACTCCAAAAACAAGAACTATGTACACTTGAGAACTTCAGAGTTCTTCAGAGTCCCTTTTTTTAACAGGCATTTGAATGTACAAAGATCTTCGGTACACCAGCTGAAATCCCCTTAAAAGGACCCACAGCTGACTCCTTAGCACCAGAGGGGTTTTAGCAGCACAAAGTCTCCAAGATCCTTTCAGAGGTGTCTGTACTCACAAGGTCCAAGGACAGCTGGTTGCCTTCCTCCATTATGCCAGACCAGATCTTCAGTTGACGGTGCCTCAGTCAGCTATTGGCAGTACCCAGGTCACAGTGTTCAGGTCCTCAGGTCGCCCACCTGAGGCCTACGACAGCAGATGCAGCAGCACTGCCTAGGAGGTCAGCATGCTCCCTGCAGGCTTGACCAATCCTATACAGGAAAAGACTCAGAGCTCCATGTGCTCACTGAATATATATAGTATCCTAGAATGTCATCAGACACTGCCTCTCTGGGATAGGCCAGAGTTGTATCAGTATTCATGCTGCCATCTGCATAGCTCCACAACTACCATCCAGAACTATCTCAAGCTTCCTGGAGGCAGAGGGAGCTATCAGGGTGGCAGCACGCTGAGCAGACATATCTAGCAGAACACAGCAACACTGGTTACAGTGTGCAAACTATGGTTTTACCTAACAATTGCACCCACACCAACTACAGTGTGACAACTGTATTTGCCACAAAACACATACTAAATCTATCTAATCTAAACCTAGCACCTATCTAGGAGGGTGCTACATGTAGATTACCAATTAGAATATAAGTGTCTAAATTAAAGTGGGTGGTACCTATGATATATGATTGGAAGGCACCGGGCCCCCAGGCGGGGCGACAGGCATCGGGCCCCCAGGTGGGGCGACAGGCACCGGGCCACCAGGCGGGGCGACAGGCATCGGGCCCCCAGGCGGGGCGACAGGCATCGGGCCCCCAGGTGGGGCGACAGGCACTGGGCCACCAGGCGGAGCGACAGGCATCGGGCCCCCAGGCGGGGCGACAGGCATCGGGCCCCCAGGCGGGGCGACAGGCCTCAGGCCCCCAGGCGCGGAGCGGCGGGCGCCGGACCCCCAGGCGGAGCGACAGGTCTCGGGCCCCCAAGCGGAGCGGCGGGCGCCGGACCCCCAGGCAGAGCGTCAGGTCTCGGGCCCCCAGGCGGAGCGGCGGGCGCCGGACCCCCAGGCGGAGAGACAGGTCTCAGGCCCCCAGGTGGAGCGGCGGGAGCCGGACCCCCAGGCGGAGCGACAGGCCTTGGGCCCCCAGGCGGAGCGGCGGGCGCTGGACCCCCAGGCGGAGCGACAGGTCTCGGGCGGGGCGACAGGCATCGGGCCACCAGGCGGGGGGCGACAGGCACCGGGCCCCCAGGCGGGGCGACAGGCATCGGGCCCCCAGGCGGGGCGACAGGCCTCAGGCCCCCAGGCGGAGCGGCGGGCGCCGGACCCCCAGGCGGAGCGACAGGTCTCAGGCCCCCAGGCGGAGCGGCGGGCGCCGGACCCCCAGGCAGAGCGTCAGGTCTCGGGCCCCCAGGCGGAGCGGCGGGCGCCGGACCCCCAGGCCCCCAGGCGGAGAGACAGGTCTCAGGCCCCCAGGTGGAGCGGCGGGAGCCGGACCCCCAGGCGGAGCGACAGGCCTCGGGCCCCCAGGCGGAGCGGCGGGCGCTGGACCCCCAGGCGGAGCGACAGGTCTCGGGCCCCCAGGCGGGGCGACAGGCACCGGGCCCACAGGCGGGGCGACAGGCATCGGGCCACCAGGCGGGGCGACAGGCACCGGGCCCCCAGGCGGGGCGACAGGCACCGGGCCCCCAGGCGGGGCGACAGGCACCAGGCCACCAGGCGGAGCGGCAGGCACCGGGCCCCCAGGCGGGGCGACAGGCATCGGGCCACCAAGCGGGGCGACAGGCACCGGGCCCCCAGGCGGGGCGACAGGCATCGGGCCCCCAGGCGGGGCGACAGGCACCGGGCCACCAGGCGGAGCGACAGGCATCGGGCCCCCAGGCGGGGCGACAGGCATCGGGCCCCCAGGCGGGGCGACAGGCCTCAGGCCCCCAGGCGGAGCGGCGGGCGCCGGACCCCCAGGCGGAGCGACAGGTCTCGGGCCCCCAGGCGGAGCGACAGGCCTCGGACCCCCAGGCGGAGCGACAGGTCTCGGGCCCCCAGGCGGAGCGACAGGTCTCGGGCCCCCAGGCGGGGCGACAGGCACCGGGCCCCCAGGCGGGGCGACAGGCATCGGGCCACCAGGCGGGGCGACAGGCACCGGGCCCCCAGGCGGAGCGCAGGCATCGGGTCCCCAGGCGGAGCGGCATGCATCGGGCCACCAGGCGGGGCGACAGGCACCGGGCCCCCAGGCGGGGCGACAGGCACCGGGCCACCAGGCGGAGCGACAGGCACCGGGCCACCAGGCGGAGCGACAGGCATCGGGCCCCCCGGCGGGGCGACAGGCACCGGGCCCCCAGGCGGGGCGACAGGCACCGGGCCCCCAGGCGGGACGACAGGCCTCAGGCCCCCAGGCGGAGCGGCGGGCGCCGGACCCCCAGGCGGAGCGACAGGCTTCGGGCCCCCAGGCGGGGCGACAGGCACCGGGCCCCCAGGCGGGGCGACAGGCACCCGGCCCCCAGGCGGGGCGACAGGCCTCAGGCCCCCAGGCAGAGCGGCGGGCGCCGGACCCCCAGGCGGAGCGACAGGTCTCGGGCCCCCAGGCGGAGCGGCGGGCGCCGAACCCCCAGGCGGAGCGACAGGTCTCGGGCCCCCAGGCGGAGCGACAGGTCTCGCCCCCAGGCGGAGCGGCGGGCGCCGGACCCCCAGGCGGAGCGACAGGTCTCGGGCCCCCAGGCGGAGCGGCAGGTCTCGGGCCCCCAGGCAGAGCGGCGGGCGCCGGACCCCCAGGCGGAGCGACAGGTCTCGGGCCCCCAGGCGGAGCGGCGGGCACCGGACGCCCAGGCGGAGCGACAGGTCTCGGGCCCCCAGGCGGAGCGGCGGGCGCCGGACCCCCAGGCGGAGCGACAGGTCTCGGGCCCCCAGGCGGAGCGGCGGGCACCGGACGCCCAGGCGGAGCGACAGGTCTCGGGCCCCCAGGCGGAGCGACAGGTCTCGGGCCCCCAGGCGGAGCGGCGGGCGCCGGACCCCCAGGCGGAGCGACAGGTCTCGGGCCCCCAGGCGGAGCGGCGGGCGCCGGACCCCCAGGCGGAGCGACAGGTCTCAGGCCCCCAGGCGGAGCGGCGGGCGCCGGACCCCCAGGTGGAGCGACAGGTCTCGGGCCCCCAGGGCGGAGCGGCGGGCGCCGGACGCCCAGGCGGAGCGGCGGGCGCCGGACGCCCAGGCGGAGCGACAGGTCTCGGGCCCCCAGGCAGAGCGACAGGTCTCGGGCCCCCAGGCGGAGCAGCGGGCGCCCGGACCCCCAGGCGGAGCGACAGGTCTCGGGCCCCCAGGCGGAGCGGCGGGCGCCGGACCCCCAGGCGGAGCGACAGGTCTCGCTCCCCCAGGCGGAGCGGCGGGCGCCGGACGCCCAGGCGGAGCGACAGGTCTCGGGCCCCCAGGCGGAGCGACAGGTCTCGGGCCCCCAGGAGGAGCGGCGGGCGCCGGACCCCCAGGCGGAGCGACAGGTCTCGGGCCCCCAGGCGGAGCGGCGGGCGCCGGACCCCCAGGCGAAGCGACAGGTCTCGGGCCCCCAGGCGGAGCAGCGGGCGCCGGACCCCCAGGCGGAGTGACAGATCTCGGGCCCCCAGGCGGAGCGGCGGGCGCCGGACGCCCAGGCGGAGCGACAGGTCTCGGGCCCCCAGGCGGAGCGACAGGTCTCGGGCACCCAGGCGGAGCGAGCGGCGGGCGCCGCACCCCCAGGCGGAGCGACAGGTCTCGGGCCCCCAGGCGGAGCGGCAGGCGCCGGACCCCCAGGCGGAGCGACAGGCCGGACCCCCAGGCGGAGAGCAACAGGTCTCGGGCCTCCAGGCGGACCGGCGGGCGCCAGACCCCCCGGCGGAGCGACAGGTCTCGGGCCCCCAGGCGGAGCGACAGGTCTCGGGCCCCCAGGCGGAGCGGCGGGCGCCGGACCCCCAGGCGGAGCGACAGGTCTCGGGCCCCCAGGCGGAGCAACGGGCGCCGGACCCCCAGGCAGAGCGACAGGTCTCGGGCCCCCAGGCGGAGCGGCGGGCGCCGGACCCCCAGGCGGAGCGACAGGTCTCGGGCCCCCAGGCGGAGCTGTGGGCGCCGGACCCCCAGGCGGAGTGACAGGTCTCGGGCCCCCCAGGCGGAGCGGTGGGCGCGCCGGACCCCCAGGCGGAGCGAGCGACAGGTCTCGGGCCCCCAGGCGGAGCGGCGGGCGCCGGACCCCCAGGCGGAGCGACAGGTACCGAGTCACCAGGCACGACAGTGGGCTCCGAGTCAACTGGCATGACCACTGGCACTGGGTCAGACATTGGATCGTCTGGCTGGACAGCGGGCATCGGGTCACCAGGCATCAGGTCATTTGGCTCGACAGCGGGCACCGCGTCATCTGGCAAGGCAGTGGGCACCAAGTCACCAGGCACGACAGTGGGCTCTGAGTCAATTGGCACGACAGCAGGCACCGGGTCATCAGATACCGGATCGTCTGACTCGACAGCAGGCACCGGGTCATCTGGCGCTGGATCATCTGGCTCGACAGCGGGCATCGGATCACCAGGCATGACCGCGGGCACTGGGTCATCAGGCATTGGATTGTCTGGCTCGACAGCGGGCATCGGGTCACCAGGTATGACAGCGGGCACTCGGTCATCAGGCATTGGATCATCTGGCTCGATCTGGCTCGACAGCAGGCATCGGGTCACCAGGTATGACCGCGGGCACTGGGTCATCAGGCATTGGATCGTCTGGCTCGACAGCGGGCATCGGATCACCAGGCATGACCGCGGGCACTGGGTCATCAGGCATTGGATTGTCTGGCTCGACAGCGGGCATCGGGTCACCAGGTATGACAGCGGTCACTGGGTCACCAGGCATCAGGTCATTTGGCTCGCCAGCGGGCACCGCGTCATCTGGCAAGGCAGTGGGCACCGAGTCACCAGGCACGACAGTGGGCTCTGAGTCAATTGGCACGACAGCGGGCACCGGGTCATCAGGTACCGGATCGTCTGGCTCGACAGCAGGCACCAGGTCTCGGGCCCCCAGGCGGAGCGGCGGGTGCCGGACGCCCAGGCGGAGTGACAGGTCTCGGGCCCCCAGGCGGAGCGACAGGTCTCGGGCCCCCAGGCGGAGCGGCGGGCGCCGGACCCCCAGGTGGAGCGACAGGTCTCGGGCCCCCAGGCGGAGCGGCGGGCGCCGGACCCCCAGGCGGAGCGACAGGTCTCGGGCCCCCAGGCGGAGCGGCGGGCGCCGGACCCCCAGGCGGAGCGACAGGTCTCGGGCCCCCAGGCGGAGCGGCGGGCGCCGGACCCCCAGGCGGAGCGACAGGTCTCGGGCCCCCAGGCGGAGCGGTGGGCGCCGGACCCCCAGGCGGAGCGACAGGTCTCGGGCCCCCAGGCGGAGCGGCGGGCGCCAGACCCCCAGGCGGAGCGACAGTTCTCTCGGGCCCCCAGGCGGAGCGACAGGTCTCGGGCCCCCAGGCGGAGCGGCGGGCGCCGGACCCCCAGGCGGAGCGACAGGTCTCGGGCCCCCAGGCGGAGCGGCGGGCGCCGGACCCCCAGGCGGAGCGACAGGTCTCGGGCCCCCAGGCGGAGCGGCGGGGGCGCCGGACCCCCAGGCGGAGCGACAGGTCTCGGGCCCCCAGGCGGAGCGGCGGGCGCCGGACCCCCAGGCGGAGCGACAGGTCTCGGGCCCCCAGGCGGAGCGGCGGGCGCCGGACGCCCAGGCGGAGCGTCAGGTCTTGGGCCCCCAGGCGGAGCGACAGGTCTCGGGCCCCCAGGCGGAGCAGTGGGCGCCGGACCCCCAGGCGGGGCGACAGGTCTCGGGCCCCCAGGCGGTGCGGCGGGCGCCGGACCCCCAGGCGGAGAGACAGGTCTCGGGCCCCCAGGCGGAGCGGCGGGCGCCGGACGCCCAGGCGGAGCGACAGGTCTTGGGCCCCCAGGCGGAGCGACAGGTCTCGGGCCCCCAGGCGGAGCGACAGGTCTCGGGCCCCCAGGAGGAGCGGCGGGCGCCGGACCCCCAGGCGGAGTGACAGGTCTCGGGCCCCCAGGCGGAGCGGCGGGCGCCGGACCCCCAGGCGGAGCGACAGGTCTCGGGCCCCCAGGCGGAGCGGGCGGGCGCCGGACCCCCAGGCAGGGCGACAGGTACCGAGTCACGCACGACAGTGGGCTCCGAGTCAACTGGCATGACCGCTGGCACTGGGTCAGACATTGGATCGTCTGGCTGGACAGCGGGCATCGGGTCAGCAGGCATCAGGTCATTTGGCTCGACAGCGGGCACCGCGTCATCTGGCAAGGCAGTGGGCACCAAGTCACCAGGCACGACAGTGGGCTCTGAGTCAATTGGCACGACAGCGGGCACCGGGTCATCAGGTACCGGATCGTCTGACTCGACAGCAGGCACCGGGTCATCTGGCGCTGGATCGTCTGGCTCGACAGCGGGCATCGGATCACCAGGCATGACCGCGGGCACTGGGTCATCAGGCATTGGATTGTCTGGGCTCGACAGCGGGCATCGGGTCACCAGGTATGACAGCGGGCACTGGGTCATCAGGCATTGGATCATCTGGCTCGACAGCAGGCATCGGGTCACCAGGTATGACCGCGGGCACTGGGTCATCAGGCATTGGATCGTCTGGCTCGACAGCGGGCATCGATCACCAGGCATGACCGCGGGCACTGGGTCATCAGGCATTGGATTGTCTGGCTCGACAGCGGGCATCGGGTCACCAGGTATGACAGCGGTCACTGGGTCACCAGGCATCAGGTCATTTGGGTCGCCAGCAGGCACCGCGTCATCTGGCAAGGCAGTGGGCACGAGTCACCAGGCACGACAGTGGGCTCTGAGTCAATTGGCACGACAGCGGGCACCGGTGTCATCAGGTACCGGATCGTCTGGCTCGACAGCAGGCACCAGGGCAATGTGGCGCTGGATCGTCTGGCTCGACAGCGGGCATTGGGTCACCAGGCATGACAGCGGGTCATCAGGCATTGGATCGTCTGGCTCGACAGCGGGCATCGGGTCCTTAGGTACCGAATCGTCTGGATCGACAGGGCACTGGGTCATCTGGCATTGGATCGTCTGGCTCGACAGCGGGCATCGGGTCACCAGGCATGACAGCAGGCACTGGGTCATCAGGTACCGGATCGTCTGGATCGACAGCGGGCACCGGGTCATCTGGCGCTGGATCGTCTGGCTTGACAGCGGGCATCGGGTCACCAGGCATGATAGCGGGCACTGGGTCATCAGGCATTGGATCGTCTGGCTCGACAGCGGGCATCGGGTCGCCAGGTATGACAGCGGGCACTGGGTCATCAGGCATTGGATCATCTGGCTCGACAGCAGGCATCGGGTCACCAGGTATGACCGCGGGCACTGGGTCATCAGGCATTGGATCGTCTGGCTCGACAGCAGGCATCGGGTCACCAGGCATGACAGTGGGCACCGGGTCATCAGGTACCGGATCGTCTGGCTCGACAGCGGGCACTGGGTCATCAGGCGTGATAGGATCATCAGGCTGGATCAGTTCATCAGGCTGGGTACAGACATCAGGCTGGGTACAGACATCAGGCTGAAGTGCGGGTGCCGAGGCACCAGGCTGAACCACGGAAGCAGGTTCTCAGACGGCAGGCTCACCTACAGAGGACTTCTTTACAGGGTTAAAGAAAGGATAGGTGCAGCGAGTGGGAGCAGAGGACTGGTATGTGGTAGTTAGAGTATACTGGGCAGTCACTGGGGGTGCTGTCGGGGATGCAGGAAGAGTGCCTTGAGTGGAGGAATGATGTTGTAAGCTGACTGAGGCTGGGTGCAACAAGTCTGACCATGTCTGCAGTATGGGTTGAACGAAGCTCAGTTTACACAAAGCCTGTCTGGTCAATGACTGCACTGCGTTTATACAATCTCTTAGTATCTGTGGTGAACATGCAGAATAACGCTCCAGAAAGTAATCCACATCATCCTCTAATAACCACACCAGGGACTCTACCTGGTCGGCACTAAATGGCGGCAAAAATTCATCCCTGCATTCGGGGGTACCAGATGAAACCAACTCCGCACAAACCTGAATCAATGGCTGCACCTCAGAGAATTCTGTGCCCTGATCTACTAGAACATGAGCGAGCCGTATACATTCTAGCAGTTCATCCCGGGGATACTCCTTCAGAGTCTGATAAGCATATTCTCTGTCATCAAACACTAGCAGATATAAATACACAACCTCATCAAGATCCATCCTTCCCATCAACAAGCCAAGATGGCTTCCCTGTGCAGCCACTTCTGGTCAGGATTGGCCTTGGTGTAATGTCAGGGCTCCAGGGTATGACCAGAGGTATGTGACTGACGCAGGGAAACGCAGGCTTCAGATAAGTTATAAACAATATAATTTATTAAAGACTAACAATACAAACATAAACGCAGTACAATACTAAAACATAACACAGTGCAAACGAACCAAACCAAACCACCCACAGATAATACATACAATGCAAGCGTCGTCAGGCAGGCGGGTCAATAACAATCGGGCAGGTAGGTACAGGGGGGTCAGGCAGAGAGTGGTCGGGGTCACAGGCCAGGGATAAAGCAAGAGAAGTCAGCAGAGGTCCGGATCAGGCAGGGTCAGCAACGAATCAGACAGAGACAGGAACAGGGATGCAGGAACAAGATACAGGGCCCAGGAAAAACACACACCAAGGCAAAGACTGCAGGTCTGGCCATCACTTAAATACACCTGCCTAAGCAGTTTCAGGTGTTTGGCTGGCTGCAGGGTTGAGTCTCTGATTGCTGGGAGCACCCGCTGGCCAGCCCTGGTACTGCAGCCCACAAGGCAGGTGAGTCCCACCATTACTGGCAAGTTACATAGTTCATCTGGTTGAAAAAGACACATCCAGTGCAACCAACAGAGAAAAAAAAATTATGATAGTGCCACATCCCTAATTACTTGTACTCATAAACCAAAAGAAAGGGGAATGAAGAGGGAGAATGGGGAAATGGGGACTTTTGATGCACAGCATCTATATAAAATCACTATTTATTTCACATCAAAATCCAACATATGTAATACTCATATTGACATCCAAAATACTGTATCATATAAAGATTAAAAGGTTACAGCATCATAGAAAAACACATTGCTTCACAGGTGATCCAACACACTTGGCTCAACACATTTCATGGACTTGATCCACTTCTTCAGGAGCCATCACCATATATGTTTTCTTAACTACTAATCTAAACAAAAAACACATAATCATTAGTTATTCTTCATCCCAGTATAACATCATAAAATTACATATCACAAGCACACCATGGGCAAGGGAGGAAAACAATACTTCAAATACAGCAGTATAACTATGTATAATATACTAGTTTTATGGGCCAAAGGGGATCCAAAATACAACAAAAGATTTTCTTAGTTCTATACACCTATTACCTGAAGAGAGACATTAGCAGCAGAAGGAGGAGGAATTTATTTAAAAATAAATTTTACCTCTAAATAGTAGCTGGTATACAAACATTTCGGATAGAAATGTTATTATCTCCTCAAAATAGGTTGGGGGCACAGAGGAAATTACAAAAAAAATCAATGCCCGCTGACCTGTCCGCACCCGCTGAGCACTCGCCACAATCTGGCATTTGCCGGTCAGATGTAAACAATTGGGTGGAACTAGCAGTGACATCACCGCTAGCTCTGCCCAATTTTTGATTACAGGTCTGATGTAAACAATTGGGCGGAGCTAACGGTGACAACAGAGGTGGGCATCACCGCTAGCTCCGCCCAATTGTTTTACATGTGACTGGCAACTGTCACACCTGTCATATTACGGCTAGTGCTTGGTGGGGGCATCAGGCTTTTTTTTTATTTCGGCGAGTTGGCATCATCATGATAATGCTGGCTGCCGTGATTGATGATGGCTTACAACAATGGAACCATTTTTTTGGGATTTTTTTAAATAAAGGACTTGTCAAAAGCTGTTGTTTTGTTTTTTGTTCAATAAAGGCATTTTTCAAAAGGCTGGCATCTTTATTTTTTTTCTAAATTTAACCCTTTAGTGAATGGGTAGGGATACAAGTACCCCTTACTCAATCACAAGGGGGGGGGGGGCAGCATCAGGCTGCTCCCTTATTTAAAGGAGTACCCTGATGCTAATCAGCCAGCCCTGGCCGCAGACCTCCACAGCAACTGTGCCAGGGTTGTGGGGAAGAGGCCCTTGTCCCCATCAGAATGGGGACACCATCCGCATGCCAAGGAAACATGGTCTGGTAAGCCACAGGGGGGAGAGACGCTCAATTGCCACCCCCCTTCCTGCCCTGCCAGGCCTGTGCTCGGATCAAGGGTCTGGTAGGAATACAGAGGGGACCTCACGCTTCCCCCCCATTTTTGGGGGGTGGGGTTCCCCTTAAAAGTTCTACCAGGCCTAAAGGCCTTTTTTTTTATTTTCTGCTGTGGGGTCCCTCCTAACCTTCCTGCTAGACCTAAAGGGCCTGGTATATCTGAGGGAGGGGAGCCCATGCTGTTTCTTTTTTTCTTTTTTGTTGTATTTTTGTTTTTTTAATTTTATTATTATTATTATTTATTTGTACGTTTGTTTGGTTTTTTTTTTTGGGGGGGGGGTATTCTCTCCTCTGTCTTTGGCAGTGTCCAGAAACACAGTGATAAAGCTGTAGTGTAAGCAACCTTATATAGTGTGGTTTGAATTTTTTACTGTGGGGTCCCTCCTAACCTTCCTAAAAGACCTAAAGGGTCTGGTATGGATTAGGGGGGACCCCATGCTGTTTTTGTTTTTTCTATAAAAATGTAATAAAAAAAATGTCAGTCCTGCTGTAGCAGGTAGTTTATGGGGACCCCCAGGCATGATATTTAAATGAAAAATGACTGCCCCTTTAAAAACGGTACTTTTTGAAAAAAAATGTCCCTGTCTCATGTCCCTCAGGGCAGTACCCGAGTCTCCATTCCCCTTTTATGGCCTATAATTTGCAAAATGGGCACTTTTGAATTTACGAATTCGAGTCCCATAGACTTGCATTGAGTTTGATGTTCGCGGTCGAACTTTCATTAGATTCGAACATTCGACCGCAAACTGAACATGGGGGTGTTCAGCTCATCACTTGTTAATAGCAAGAAAGCAATCCTTACAGACAGCTAAAGGGATAATAGGTGTCATGCTACTGGCCTTGCTAAGTGGCATTGGTTCTGGAACTATGCTGGCACCATCAAATGGGAGGTCAATCAACCGCAGCTCAAGGAGCCCCTAGCCACCCCTGGAGGAACCCTAGAATTCCACAAAACATTGGTTGCTACATCCCTTGACCAGAGTCATCACTGTAAAAAAAACAGCATCCCAGGCATTCCTTTAGATGTGCAACATCTAAACCAACTTCAAGAATATGCTTCTAGTTCCCTAAGTGGCATTGGACTGGCAAAACGTGTAATTGTGCCATATGGTATGTAATTTCCTTTTTTTTGCCAGGCTATAATCATTGCTGGCTGCAAACTTAAATGGAAAGGTTCGTTTCCATAATTTAGATGGTGTTTGGTATCTAAATTTAAATGTTTTCCTTTAATGTAAACCTGCTAGACGTTTAGGAAAATTACAGGGGCTTTTGCCCAGTAGTCATTCATTACCTTGTAGCTATAGGCGTCTATTACAGGTGATCTTGAAGATTATTGCTCCAGAAAAATTGTTGACCAGTTACCTGGCAGAGGTTTTTCATTCTTTTTCTTACCCATTGTTAGACCTGTTACTTTTGACCTTTATCTATGGTGAATCATTTTTTTCAGATTGCAGATTACCTGATCTTTTGTTTTCCTGTTCTCATGTGGAAAGACTAATGCAAATGCCTTATTATTGTATTATATCTTTGAAAGCTTTCCAATTAACAAAAAAAAAACATTATTGGGAAATCTTAAAGCTGAACTCCAGTCTGCATAAAAATATTAAATGTTTAGGGTTACATACAGTAACATACTGTGACACTTCATGCACGCTGAATTTAAAAAAGGTAGTTCTTTTGGCAGGAAAAAAACGCTCATATAGAGCTTTTTTGTACGGGCGTTTTAAAACATTTAGAGTCTTTTTCTGCCAGAAAACTCCTCTCAAAAATGCAATCCAGAAAGTTTCTTTTTTTGCCTCTAAGCGCTGAGCTTAAAATATGCCTTTAAGCATGTAAATGTGCATGGACACATAACAGGATACCATTGAGCTGCTTCTACAGGCAAAACACAAAAGTCCTGCAGAAGCAGCATTTTTTAAGGTCAGTGTGCATGGGCCATATACTTACATTAATCCCTAGTCTTATAGCAACTGGTGCTTCCGTCATTTTGTTCCCTGTGGGCAACCTTCATCATCATTATGTACAATGCAGGAACAGCGGCGACTGCTGATTCTGGGTAAGTATTCCTCTCCACTATTACTATTGATACTCTGAATGAAACATTGCATGGGGATGTATTAACAGTCAGAAGGGATATGCTCAGGGGCGGACTGACCATTTGGAAACTCGGGCACTGCCCGAGGGCCCGGGGTCAGTAGGGGGCCCCATGAGATGCCCCTGGTACCTTTTTCATAGGCTTTTTTTGAGTTTGGGCAAGGACACAGGGGCCCCATGATCACCTATTGCCCGGGGGCCCCATGAGTTGTC